TTTATTATGTTAAGTTTTAATTCATTTAAGTGCATATAAATCACATTCAAGTTAAACTTTCTTTGTTCTCAAGCTTACTTAAATCTACCTACATCAGAAAAAAAAATGTTAACATTAAATTTCACTAAGTTTTCATATTAAATGGTTTTTAACAGCTTAAATAGTTACAATTAAGGTTAATTCATCTACTAACATCCAGCAACTTAAGGTTCAACGTTGGGTAGCCACTTTATAACACTTTTTAGGGCGTTACTCGCCGGCTACGGTTATCGGAGAGTCAAGGGACTCGAGGATCAAAATAAAAGTATCCCAGGGTGCCTATTGTTGGATGATTAGTAAATGAAAATGCTAAGATACATATACAGACAAAAAGTAGTTTATTTCCTTCTACGGTTCACGTGTATAGCTCCAAATATCAAGTTTTCACTTTAAAATACCCTACGAACTGAGGTTTTGACTAACCTGGTGGATTACACAATATTACACTGTTTATGGTCAATCCCGCGAAGCAGTGAGGCAACAGATATCCTCCAGGTGTACGCCGGTCGCGGTCTCCTGGCCGCCCAGTCCCAATATAGCCACCCGTTGAAGCTGCCTCGCCTCGTTCACATTGTTAAACTTGATAATGGACCATACTCAAAGTACGGACTAAGGACTAAGGACTAAGGACCCAATTTATGGGATGATGTGTTTCAACACATTAAACTGCCCGTAGACATTGTGTTTAAGGGGCCGTACGCCCAAGTAGTCGTCACTTTAAATTCATGTTCCGGCTTTTCGATTCAAAAATTATATATGTGCGTGTCCGATCATTACAACGGCTCGCTCCAAAAAGAACTAGGCCTCCCTTGGGCTACACGCCACCGTCGATCCGTGGTAGGATTTCGAGCTAACACGAAAGGTCAATTGCATGCAATTAGCTAGCTCGATTCGTCAATATGTTTCTAGTTACTTCGGACTAATGACGTTAGATGGCGCTCTGAAGTCTGTTCATCGCATGTAATAACGTAAATATGCTAAAATAATGTACACGAAAATTTTCGTGTTACAATATGTTACAAACAAAAACTTATTGTGAGTGGACGAGATGCGTCCAAAGAAAGAAAGAAAACTTGATGAAGTCTAAGCAGTGCGTTGCGTTGTTGCTGTTTAAAACTTAAAAGTATAATGTGCGGTAATATTTAAAGTGTGCGGTTAGTATTATAAATGATGTTAGTATTGTATAAATAAATCTTACTACTAACTAAGGCTATTTGCGTAGGTAGCGGAGATACAGTCCCCGACTTAAATCCTATCGAGCATGCCCGGAACATGTTACAACGAAAAGCTTTAATTCCTCATCCACACGCTTGGCAAACAACGGCGAACAGCAAACCAAACAGCAATCACGAACGTGTGGATGGTTGTTTGCCTGTTTGTTTGTTTGTTTGTGATTGTCAGTGATCGGCGTTCATGTCGGTTTTTGTGCACCAATCAAAGGGTGTTCGACAAACGTGTTTGCGATATATCCACACGTTTGGCAATCAGGCAGTAGTACGCGCGAGCTTGCGGATGCGGCTTGCGGGCGGCGGAAGGAGTTACTAGTGGATATTATTATTATACTCTACGCCAATGTTACCAATCCGAAATTTGTCTCGGAGGTAAATATGATTTCAGAAGTTGAGTTTCCTACCAATTCTACTTCGAAAGGTTAGTAGATCTACCACCTATATTTTTTTAAGTTTTCTAAAGACCTCCCAATAATAATGTGATTGACTTCTAATTAATGTTTCTATTGGGTAACAAATATTTCACCTCTTTTTATTAGGAGTCCCGTCTGAAAGCAGGATCATTGATCATCAATTCCCAAAATAAAATCCGAAAAAATTATATAAGATTAGTTTATCGTATACAGGTTAATTTTTAATTTACTGAAGACCTTTTGGGAATATATTATTTACATCATAAATAATTTCTTCAATATTAAATATATTTCTTCAATTTTTATTTTCATACAAAAATAAAAATATTTTAATTGGACAGTCTAAACGGCAATAGTCCTAATTAGCAAAATAAAGCGCGTGGCGGAGTAGGGGTGGAGGGGTGTATGAGGCGGCGCTTGCTCATTTGAACTTGACCTAATTACCTGTGTCGTCAGTCGCCTTTGGTGCGCCCGCGACGTTTCTCCTTTCGTTGTGAGATTAATATCGCGAACGTTACGCGTTGTTACGATGGCTTACCGATACTCAAATGTTGAGTATATCGAAACGGTGCGAATTTTAGCAATTTGCAATGATAACGTTAGTGAAGCCTGCCGTGAATATTCAAGGCGATTTCCCAACTCACGTGCACCGAGCTATTCCAGCCTGTATCAATCGATCGTGGTTGTCCACCGCGGCGCACAGTACGTGAGCAGCAAGACATACTGCAGTTTTTTGAACAAAATCCAGCAGAGAGCAATTATGAGGCAGCCCGACAGTTCAATGTGTCACAGTACTACGCATGGAGTGTCTTACACAATGAAGGGAAGTACCATTTCCACTTGCATCGTGTTCATGAACTCGGCGAAGCTGACAAACCAGCGTGAGTTACATTTTGTAACTGGTTACTAGCTGCTGAACGAGCTAACATTTTATGGACTGATGAAGCAATATTTGGCAGAATAGGACTATTTAATTCGCACAATGAACACTTGTGGTTAGTGATGGGTCAACTCGAGTTGACTCGAGTTGCGCTTAACTCGAGTTGGATCTCCCTAACTCGAGTTGCGTGAATTTCAACTCGAGTCGTGACTTTTCCGAGTTAGCACATCTGTACTTGTGGTGCTATGAAAATCCACATGTACCAAGACCGCATAACTTTCAACACCGGTTTAGTGTCAATGTGTAGGCAGGCGTTATTAATACAACGTTACTGGGCCCGGTCTTCATAGAAAAATTAAACGGTGAAAGCTATCATAGTTTTCTCACCGACACGCTGCCAGAGTTGTTAGAGGACATACCACTTGCATCTCTACGCAATATGTATTACCAACATGACGGGGCACCGGCGCACTATGCTCGCCAAGTTAAGGATTATTTAAACAGATAATACCCTGGTCGCTGGGTCGGTCGTGACGGGCCTTGTGCATGGCCTCCCAGATCGCCAGATATTACACCAATGAATTTTTATTTGTGTGGGCATGTAAAGACATTAGTGTATACTGGTCGCGCATTCAAAACCCGCGAGATGTTGAAAGAAAAAATAATTTGGGCATTCGATCAAATCAAAATGAATCATCAAGTATTATCTCGTGTCGGTGAACAGTGAAGGTTTAGGTGTCACCTATGCATAGAATGTGGAGGTGATTATTTTGAACGCTAGGTGCGCGATACTCACCGCCATCCGCGGACAAGTACCTAGGTAAGTCTAATTTTTAAATTTGTATTTTAATATTTTTGTTGAACTATTATACCTTAATATCTTTATTCAATTACTGTTAATTTGTATTTAATCATTATAAATATTTTATTGTAATACTTGTAATTATTTTAACCTGCATCCATTTTTTAAATACAACTTACATTAAATAAGAAAAATAGTTAATAATACTCATTTAATTCGCACGTGCTGCAAACATCGATCACCAAATCGATGGCTGCAAACAGGGCAGGTGGCACCTTTGATGACGATGACACGTGTGTCGACGTCATAATATACCGTTGGCTTGGCCTTGGGCCGCCGCATGTGCGTCGTTGAAACGTTGCTACCAGCTGGATGCGACGTTGCCTCTTGGATGCTGGCAGCGTTGCTAGCAAACATTATTCGTAAAAAAACTACCTAAATGTCTCTTAAAGAATGTCTATTAATTCTTAAAAAAATTAATAAACTAATCAAATAGTTCATCAAATGGTTTTATGCAAAATAAAGAAGTATATGAAAAGTTAATGTAAACTCAGTTAAAGTGGCGCTCTGGTCCAATAGGCACAGTGATGAATGGTTTAGTAGGCACTCGCAACGCAATCAGCTGAGCGCGGGTGTCGACCGGCGGCCCGGCGGTCAAACTTACTTATTATAAATTTTAATATTTGTGATTTTTTTTGAATGTCATTTGCTCATTTAATTATATTTAATGATTTCTAAACAATGTATGATACTGATATCTAGTGTAAAATAAATAAGGCATTTTCTTTGACGATTTATTCTAACATTGTTTAGGTACTACAAAATACAGACTTAAAAGGAGTCAGACATGACAACAAAACCTTAAAAGTAGTTTTTTCGTAAATGTATTGGTACGAGCTTGGGGTTCGAGACAATTAAAAACTACCGATTGTATTACCAAAATTGACACTTTAATTACACAGCACTAATTATAATCTAAAACCACACTAATAATAAAACACAATTGTACTACTGATCACTTGAGTTCGCAGTTGTTTCGCTTCGAAGTATTCTCTTGTATCGCCAATTCAATACTGATTCGGTCGTAGTCTATACCGGCCTTTTATAGGGCCTCAGATAGTTTCCAGAACCTTCTACTGTAGCGACATCTAGAATGTTCGAGTACATACGGTCCCGAAATTTCTAGAAGGATCTTGACTCTCCTAGTTCTGCTACTCGACACTAGAGGGCGCTAGTGGGAACTAGTGTTGCCATATACAAGACATTAATAGTGGCGCGCAACACTGCCCCCTCCTAAGACATGATCGTCCCGAGCATTATTGGCCACGTCCACATGGACGATCTTAGGAGTACCTCTGGCACCTTTCTGTATCCGGTAGATTACGTCATTGATCCTTGTCACAATCCGGTACGGTCCGTCCCACTTATCTTGAAGCTTAGGAGATTTCCCTTTGCTGCGAACTGGATTGTGTAACCACATTAGTGAACCTTCGTCAAACCCTTTGTTGTTCATTTTGCGGTCATACCGTGTTTTCATCTTCTCAGACGTTTGCTGGCCCGTCTGTCTGACGTGCCCATAAATGTCATTCATTTTGTTCGGCAAGTCATTTGCATAATCGGTTATACTGCGTGGGGCGTCAGGTGGTATTCCGGTGATACTGCAGGTCTGCAGGCAGCCGTAATTCTCTCCCAAAGTTTGCGAAAGCTGGTGTCACTGATGTACTTTCGTGAACAGCGCTTCGATATGACAACAAAAACGGTTGTATGTGCCTGTCCCAGTCACGTTGCCGTTTTTCCGCAACTTTTGCTAGGTACCTCTCCATTGTCTGATTAAATCGTTCAACCATTCCATCAGATTGTGGGTGGTAAGAAGTTGTTCTTGTTTTATGATTACCCATAACTCGGCAAGTTTCCTGGAATATTTGAGACTCAAAATTCCTTCCTTGATCGCTGTGAATCTCTAAAGGTACTCCAAAACGACAGAAGACTTCATGAACTAGTTTATCTGCAACTGTTGAAGCTTCTTGATTTGGAATGGTGAAGACTTCTGGCCACTTACTGAAGTAATCCATCACAACCATGAAATATTTGTTACCACATTCACTTTCCGGAAACGGCCCCGCAACGTCAATGGCTATCCTCTCCCATGGTGCACCAACATTGTACAATTTCAATGGGCCTCTACTACGAATTTGAGGTCCCCTTACAGCCGCACAACTTGTACATTTGCGGCACCAGTCCTCGACATCGTCACGACAGTGGACCCAGTAAAACCGTTCTCGGATCTTCAGTAGAGTTCGTTTAACTCCCAGGTGGCTTCCTGAACTACCACTATGGTACAGCTGTAGAACATCCGGTACTTTAGCCTTAGGGACAACCATTTGCAAATGACATCTGTCTCCCCGACCATTTTCCTGTTTACGGCACAGGACTCCATTCTGAATCAGCAAGCTGTCCCATTGGGCCCAATAGCTTTTCGTGGTCGAACTCATTGCTGAGACGTCGCTCCACTTGGGCTTAGGAGCACTGGCCTTCATCCATTCCAGAATCGGCTTAATGTCCGAATATTCCTGCTGTGCATGTTGTAGGCTGTCCTTCTACTCATTGCTGAGCTGGTCTGTCCTGAGTATCCTCACAGATACCACTTCCTTGCCATCTTGCCTAGTACAATGCTAGCAATCTTCAGGGCAAGGTCTTCTTGACAATGCATCTGTATTGCCATGAGATTTCCCGCTGCGATGTTCGATCACAAAGTCGTATTCTTGCAGTAGTTCAATCCATCTCGCAACTTGTCCTTCTGATTTTTGATTTTTGAACTGCAATAGCCATTCCAGTGCAGCATGGTCAGTTCGTAAGTGGAATTTCCGCCCCAGAAGATATTTGCTAAAATGCTGCAAGGACTTTACCACAGCAAGCAATTCCCGTCTTGTGACACAATAGTTCCTTTCCAGCTTTGATAACGACTTGCTGAAGTACGCTATCACAATCTCTTGATCACCATTCCGTTGAGACAACACACCGCCAAGTCCTATATCACTTGCGTCTGTGTCAAATATAAATTCCTTGCCCGCATCAGGGTATCCCAAAATAGGTGTTTTGCACAGACGGTTCTTGAGCTCCTGGAATGCAATATCGCAACTTTCATCTCAGCAGAAATGTCGCTTCTCCTCGGTTAACTTGTGCAGAGGTTTGGCTATATCTGCAAAGTTCTTCACAAATCGCCGATAATAAGAGCACAAACCCAAAAATGCTCTAACCTGTGTCTTGTCTTTTGGAACCGGCCACTCCTTGACAGCGGCAATTTTCTCTGGATCCGTGCGGATACCTTCTTCCGACACTACATACCCCAAAAAGCTAACTTGCCGTTTGAATAGTGAGCATTTCTTCGGACTCAACTTGAGGTTGGCACTCTGGATCTTCATGAGCACGCGTTCCAGCTTTTGAAGGTGTTCCTTAAACGTACGGCCTACGACGATGAGGTACGCCACTTTTCAGGTCCAGCGTACTAAACCACTTTACGCCTGTAAGCATGTCCAGCGTGTCATCAAAAGGCAAGGGATAGCTGTCCTACTTCGTAACGTCGTTCAGGCGGCGGTAGTCAACACAAAACCGCATGCTGCCGTCCTTCTTCTTTACCTGCACCACAGGTGAACACCATGGACTAGATGAAGTTTCAATAACAACATCCTTCACCATTCCCTCAATCATAATAATAATAATCTTTATTGATAAACATCATGGTTTCCACTTCCTTTTCACGTGCTACATGCAATCTTCTTGGCCGCTGATGAATAGGCAATTCTTCTCCTGTGTTTATTTTGTGTTGAACTAAGCCAGTCTTTCCTATGTCAGCTTCGTTTGACGAGAAAACATTGGCGTACTTGAGTAGCAACTTCTTCGCCTTGACCATTTCATTTGGGGAGAGAACGCTGCGACAGTATTCTAAAAGTATGGTCACTCTCGTTTGTCCATCCTTGCTCGGGGTCCCAGTCGATAGATATTGGCACCGACGCAACCAATGCACTTCCTCACTAGTACCAACCAATGTGCCTTTTTCTATAATCTGTTCCTGATCACAAAGGTTCAGCACACGTACTCCTGAGATGTCGGCGGTTCTGACCAAGGTTCGAGCATCTTTCCATGGAAGGTCATTGTCTACCCTTTCCACGAGTACACAACGAAGAGTTTGCCCAGGATTCCGAAGAAGTCTAACCGCCACAATCGTTTCCGATCTCGGCGGAAGAACAATCTTCTTAAGGCTGTATACATTCCCTGGTAACTCCCCTTCCACGAAAAGTTCCTCTTGTCCACATTTCAAAACACCTTGCTTAACGTCGATCTCACAACAATTCTTCCTCATAAAGTCTAGGCCCAGGATGCAGTCGTCCATTATATCAGCCACGATGACATTATGCAGGTAGATCATGTTGCCTAGCTTCAACTCCATCTCCTTTTCTCCACGGACGGGTATGCGCTGACCGGTGGCTATAACCAAATTAATGCGTTCTCGGGTGTATGCGGAGTCCCCAAGGAACTGACTTATAAGTTGGGGACTGACAACCGTGCGAGAGACTCCAGTATCTATGGTCAGTTTACACGACGTTCCGTTGACCTCGCCCTTGATGATTAGGCTGTTCCCATCATGGGTTTGTATGATCGAAATCCTTGGGGCTCTTTTAACATGAGCCAGCACCCGCCCCGTAGTCCTGGCTTTTACTCGTTTCCCTGCTGCTGCTGGGCGGTGCTATTAGCCGCACTACCCTCTCGAGATCGATCACCTTCCCTTTCTACAGTTCGCTTAGGGCAGCTGGATCGAAGAAGGCCCCTTTCCCCACAGCCGTAGCACCTAGGGCGGTAGCCGTTATTGCGGTCCTGAACTGTAGCTGCTGCAACCTCCATGACGCGATGGGAACGATGATCCTGCCGCACGGCTTCCACCTCCAGTGCATGGGTCAAGGCGTCCTTAAGCGTCTCGTGGTGCCCGAGCCTCACAGCAGCTCTGACTTCAAGGTCGCGGATGCCGTTAGTAAAAGTAAATGTACCAAAGGGCGCTAAGTTACTTTACCAAAATTAAGATATGACATTTTTAATTTAAAAAAAATTGGGGTAAATAGAAATATCGGGTTAAATGAAAATAATGTAACTAATTGTGTATTCTTGGTGATTGGTAATTGGAAAGATTTTTTAAGTTACACATCATGCCTAGAAATTATAAGAAAAAGAAAAAATGTCCGTTATGGTTTTTAACAAGTATTCAAAGGGTTGTAGAAGATGTAAAATGAAATAGTAAACATACCGGGATACTAGTATAGATACTACATAGCATCCCGGTATGTTACTCTGCTGACATATTTCACAGAATTAAAGGCAGATAAGTAAGCCTAAATAGAATGGATATTGGTGTATCAAAAGATCTATTACGAAAATACTTATGTGAAGACAAATATATTTAAGTGATATTTCATTTGGCAGTAGTATGCCTTACACAATTTCTCATCGGACACGGTTATCATAAAACATATCTGCACCGTTTTAAAATAATTAAAAACGATAACTGTCCGTGCGACATCCGCACATTTCAGACGTTGAAACATCTATCGGAGAACTGCCCCGCCTTCTGTCGATACAGAACACAACATGAATTACTGTGCAATAACTTAAGAGTGTCGCCATACAAACTGACAGAACTGATGAGGAAGGAATCGGCTCTGGATTCCTTCATAAAACTTAATGAAAATGTACTTAAGAACCTAAAGAACTCTAATAAGATTGTAAATAGCGGTAACAATGATTAAATTAGTAAGTAGGTATAAAAATTATTATAAATTAAAGAATATATAAGGTTTAGATTCTAAAGACATTCTAAACTTTAGAATGTCTTTCTGTTCTCTTTCATTACTGTCTTTATTTTTGTTATTTATCTGCTAGTTTTTATAGTTATACTACCTGGCCAGGCAGACGTTGTTTTGCCCTTTCCGACGACCCTTCCCATAAAAAATCCTTAAATTCGCAATAAAAAATATTGAAGGTCACTAATCGGGATAAAAAGTATCCAATCTCTCAAGTTGGACCAAACTGCACACAGTGTGTTAATTTAATTGAAATCAGTTGTGTAGTTTAGGAGTTCATCGCGGACAAACAATGTAACACGTAATTTTTATATTAAAGATAGACTAAGAAGATGTAATATTTTACAATGTCTTTGTTTTCGTTATTATTATGGAGTGTAGAGTAGAAGGAGGACCATCTCTGTATATGAAAAGTGTCCCTAAAAACGTGTCCAATAAGGGTGGCGCTGCAGTAGCATAGGATAAATTAAAAAAGAAGCGCCAAAAGTATTTAAAATAAGATGGAGAAATAAATAAGGACCGATCAATCCGCTTGGTTTTGTACTACGTAAATAGTTGAGATTTTGTACATTGGCGTTTTACTAACTACTCTAGTCATGAAATATTTGAATTCAGCTGACTTCACTTCGTTCATAACAGCTATCTTCATATCGTAGTTTTTTTTTATTATTGTTTGTTTTATAATTGTAGACCATAGATAAATAAATATGTAGCAAGCTATTGTAGACTAAAAATATGTATGTGCTCTTTTGGTATCTTTTATGTATCTATAGAATATGTAGAAATTTTACATAGGTAATTAACAATAACCTATGTAAAATTTCTATATTATTACTATGTTAATTGTAGTATACGCAGTTGAAACTGCTATTAGTTTTTTTTTTGTATATGCTTTACGTACCACTAAAGTTTATAGAAAGTAATAGAGAGTGGAAGACAATTACGTATCAAATAGCGTAAATTGTTTCTCCACTCTCAGTATGTAATAAATTTATGAAAATTGTGCGACCAATATAAAATTTCTGTGGAAAATTGACAATATATTCCCGCTGAGGTGTGTAAACTCCAGCGAAAACCTATTAAAAAAAATGTAAAATTTTGCTTTGACGTTATAATAATATTATTTTTGTATTTTTTACCGTTGTTTTATTGAAATATTGATGTGTACTATCTTTTTTTTTTTGAGTTCTTAGCAAAATACGATGTTATCCAGTTTAAAAATATAGTAGGCAACCCTGCTGTCAGAACGTCTATACGCCAGTATATTTTAAGTCTATGGGACAGGATTTATCGCTTATCTATGAGCAGGAAATCACAGAACACAGGAAATGGTAAGTGACGTAAAAGTGTAGGTACCTACATACTACATAAAATTAAAATTGAACGCCAGATCCGTACTTAGCAAGATGCAAATTCGGTATCCAGAAATCAAAAGCACAGAATAATCGTTACAAGTGGTAGTTCTCAGTCCGTAAAACAATGCCGAGGTCAAAACAACAGAAGGAAATCTAAAATAGTACAATACGTATCACAATCCACAACAACGAGTGAAGCAAATAAGATGATGCGAATGATCGCCGGGTGACAATCAATGTCGATCGATGACCACAGATTATGTAACTTGACGATGACAAATGATGTTCCGTTGTACGTAATTGAACAAAACGCTTAGCTTACTATGAAGCTAA